GCATGTTGGTGTTTATGTTTTTCCATGAACATCCATGCAACCCTTGGACATTTCACACGTGAGTTGTCATGCTTTCAAACTATTCTGTAACTCAGTCTGTCCACACATGTCCTCTGTTTATCCATGTTTACTACATCTTTCGTTGTTTAGGAACATTTCACAACCCCTCTCTTAGGTTTCATGGTGACACCGGTTCTTCCAGGACTCTGAATACAAACCTGAACCCTGCAACCTGGCTTTATTCATGGAGCTTGATAACAGAAAGAGTTTCAGCCTTTTATGCCAAGTGTTTGCCTGCCGGGAGCAACGCAGCCACAGGGTAAATACCTCTGAATCATTAGGCTTGTTTGGCAGTGCTGCTTGTGTGGAAGGATTTGCGGGATAACGCTAAGAGGACACCAAATAATAATTAAAGACCCGCAACAATGCTGCAAGTCCAACACCGCAGTGCAACACAGGAGAGCTATTGTTCAAGTTTCAAGCGCTGCCTTAGCCAGCAACAGCTAGCTCAATTACGCAAGCATAGCTGGCAGGTTAGCAAACAGCTAAAAACACAAACAACAGCCGGTTGTAACACATTTAACCGATAACAACTTAAACGTAAACAGTGTCGGTGCAGTCTGTTTAACTCACTACAGCTGCTTTGTTAATAGCGGCGCAACAAAAAAGTGTGAACTGACAAGTCGCAAAACTTTTAAAGTCTAAACAAAAGAACATCAACAACATGGCCAGCCTGTTAGCCTTAGCGGCTACACTTCGTTAGCCTACTTAGTTAGCTCGTCGGTAGCTTCTAGAAACAGCTTACCCGAGATATGGGGCGCTCCGGGTGTCTTTTCTTTATGCTTTCTCGCTTATATCAGCTCCGTCGACATCAGCAGCGCGGAAACTGCAGCTGCACAAGCGCCTGGCGGTATTAAATATGTATAAATCTTCTTATGATATGAACTGGCTGCGGCTGGTTCCTCGGCTCTGAGTCCTTCGCTGTTCTGATGGTCGCCGCTCTGTTGATCCTGGTTCGGGACGTCGCGCTGCTACGTCATCACGCACAGCGGCCAGTCAGATTTAGGCTCGTGGACGCGGAGCTGCACTGAAATAGACGGACTGGGAATTACCCCGGGGGCTGCTGCACTTCTAACCACTCTTAAAACCTCTGCGGTGCTGTTTTTGGATTTTAATGGACTGAGACCATCTCCCAGGATTTCAAATTACACTCTCCAGAAAGTATTAAAAACACCGTTGCACTGGATGACATGTACTTTCTGTGTAAGCACAGTCAGGGACTCACAGCTCAGTTTTTATTCATCATTTAAAGACAACAGTCAAATCTAATCAGTGTTTAGTACAGAGTTATAAATATGTTTTTATAGTACTATTCTCTGAAGTAATATTATTAATAAATGCAAATTAAATTCTTAGAACTTAATCATTAATATTCAAAATACAATAGGATAGACTTTAATTGATTTAATTAATAAATGTAATAAATAAATATTTTTTAAATTAATAATAATACCTTTTTAAAAAATTAATAATAGCAATTAATTGAATTAAACAAATCAAAAACACTACAGCCAAGTGGAATAAAGTTTATTTTTGTAGCACCTTATCACACATGGAGGTTAATCAAGATGTGGCAAAAGTAAAGAAAAAAAGAAAAGAAATATAATATAATAATAATAATCATCATCATCATTATAATCATAATTATGCTACGATGACATGTAAAACATAGGATACAAAATAAAGTAAAATTTAATAATTAAGCTAAACAAATAATAAAAAAAAAATACAACTAAGTTGAATGTAGTGCACTCAAATTTTATAGAATCCTTAAAACTGACAGACTAAAACAGCACAAAGCAACACAAGATATGAAAAACAAAAACATGCACTTAAAATTAATCAAAAAATGGGTTAGTTAAAGCAGTGGAAAAAGGTACTTGTTGAAAATAGCGATACTTGGGGCAAATTTCCAAGTGGAGCTGGTTCCAGCAGTGGGCAGTAAATGATAATTTCACCGTGTCTGGTCTGACCTCTGGGCACCACTAACTGACCAGTTCCTGCAGGTCTGAGAGACTTACTGGGCTTAGATTCAGCAATCATATCTCTGATTACACTGTAGACTTATTGATAATGAATAGGGCCTTAAATTAAATTCTTTATTTAACTGGAAGCCACTGGAGTAATGTGCTCTCTCTCTCTTCTATCAGTGTTCTGGCAGCAGCATTTAGAGTGAGTTGCAAATATCTAATGGTCTTATTAGAGACGCCAGTGAGGACATAATTAAAGCATGAGTGAGTTATTCTAAATCTGTCACGGTCACAAAGTTTCTCAGTTTGTTTTTCAGATGCCAGATGAAGATTGAGTTGCAGCCTTAATCTGGCTGCTCATCAATGATTACACCAAGATTCTTGACCTGAGGTGTTAGTTTTTAGTGCCCTGGACTCAAGGTGAGCTCTGACTGCCAGCCTTCCTTCTTTATTACCAAATAAAATGATTTCAACTTAGCTTCAAGTGCAATTTAGGTAAAAATTTGTACTAAAATAAAACCACAGGTACAAAAAAGTAGATAAGATCAGATGGAAAACTACAAAAACACCTTCACAGAAAAGGAAGTTTTTATCAGGATGTCAACTTGTGGGTGCAAACAAGTGCTCAGTGTAACACTAAGCTTTATCTGTCACCTCCAAGCAGCAGATTTGTTCTGAATATTAGTTATATATTAGTTATTTATTTGTGGTATTGTGTTATGTGAGCTTTCTCTCCTCACCAGTGCCTGCATCTCTTCTCCAGGACTATTTAAAGGGTTGGTCACCCAAATCACTTTTAAATGAAAATTAGATTAAAAATTAAAGATTGCATTAAAATCCCATAAGATTTACCAGTCTAACACCAGCTGGTAGCTAAAACCGGCCACTCTGGTCTAGCTCAGTGGTTTTCATGTTTATTGCTATAGATCATTGCCTATAACACAGTGTTTCAAACATAACATCATTCTAACTTAAAAATGGTGCAATTATGAAGTTGAAATCTAAAGATTTGTAGGCCCCCAGTGTATCAAGACCCTAACAACACCTCTGAGTACAGGCACTGTAGTTCTGGTAAATATTCACTAATGTGTATTTAATGAAGACAGCAGTCCCCAACTAATGCATTCAGTTTTTGATTGGAAAATTCACTAATTCACTGCAGAGTTGTTGAAGGAAACACTCATTTTGACTTGTCGCACTAGAGAAATCACTAGTGTAAATAATGATTGCCCAGTGTCCAAGTGTCAAAGTATGTCAAAATAAAACTACACATTTGTGGCCTAAAAAGCAGCAGTAGACCCTGCTAGCTTAAAATAACCCGTTCAACTGTCCACGAAGTGAATTCCACTTGCATTTATGGGATGAAACTAGAGATTATTTTGATTAAAAATGAATCTGTAGATTGTGCAGATTGTTAAAGAAATGTAGTTCAATTAATTTTACCAGCATTTCAGAGCGACAGACTTAATTATTTGTTCTACACAATCAGAAAATGGTTAGAAATGTCCATTACAATATCCCAGAGTCCTGAAATTCCTTTTTTTGTCAGTTTAACAGACCAAGACCTTCAGCTAATTCATGAATGTTACACAGAAGCCAATTCTCTCATTTGACAGTATGGAAAGAGGTATTATTTTGAAATTTTTTTTTGGAAAATGGCAGATACATTTTAGTTCTGCCCAACTCATAAATGAACTTCTCCTGTTTTTCAGCAGCCAGAGAAGCATATATTTTGTTTAACTATATTAACCTGCTGCAGGTTACAGTTCTGACCCTCCAATGTGCAAGGATTGCTGTGATTATTGTCCAAAGCAGTGGAAGACAGCCAATGTGCCATTTTGCAGGTTTTAAACATCAGTGAAGCTCCTCCCACTGCCTTGAAGGCGGTCCTAACCTACCTGAGACAGCGATTGGCTGACATGTGATTGTCATCACCTCATGCAGCTCACCTGGGCCTTCTAGCCATGAAGCCCCTTTCTTCCATCCATAAAAGTTTAAACAAAAGCTCTTGCGAATAAATTTATTTTTTGCAAGTTAGACAGTGTGCAAGAGTCCTACTGAAACCTTGAAACCCCCTTCTGATGAAACAGATGTGCAAAGAGTTCCTTTGTCTTAAATCAAGCTTATTTTTGGACCAGGCCTAGTTTCCTGGAGGGTCAGAGGATGAATTTCATGTCCTCAAGAAGAAAAGGGCAATGCAAGAAAAGGTGGGTGCTAATTTCTGCTTCTGGTTTCCAAGAAGCTAAGAAATAAGTTTAAAAACCACATCTTGTCCCAAGCACTGGTTTTATGTTGTCTGCAAATTCACCTGTTTGTGTTTCTTGCCCTCACCAAGGCAGTGTGGTTATATGTGGTTAGAGGGCAAAATGGATGCAACTACAGCAGCCTCCAGTTCTAATAAGATGTGCACAATGTATTAAAATATAAACTCTACATCTGTGATTCATATTTAAATATTTACATTTCATACGGGGATAGATGGGCTCAGGGCAGACTGGTGCACTGTTGGGTTTTCATGAGATTTTATTTATTTATTTTTGAAACAAATAAAATGTGGAATTGTTTAATACAATTAGTACACAGGCAAACCTGGCTTTAAACTTTACTTCAATACAAACCTGCAAAATTCCCCTGAAATATCAAGGAATCTGCCAAAGGGTAAAATTGTATTATTGAATTATTCTTATCGATGTATTGCTGAGTAGGTGGCAATGCCGTTGCTTTTTAAGGTGGAGCTAATTTGACTTGTTTTATATTGTTGGGTCTAAAACTGAGCACTGTATTCCATAAACGTATCTCATTCTTTGCAGATTCTGAGTAAAAAGCACAATTTTGCCTCTGAAATGTAGTGAAACTGTAGAATAAAGCAACATAAAATGGAAATAGTTGAGTGAAGTGCAACTGGAGTTTAAGAACAGTAGTCAAATTTACATACTTTGACATTTTTCACCACTCGGAAGAATCAGAAAAAACACTTTAAAGAGATATTTATTATGTTTGCTTCTTACAAATCCTGAAATTCATTTTATAATAAGGAAAAAAATACACAAAACCTGCATTATTATTATTATTATTGTTATTATTATTATAAATCACACCGGTGCATGTGTTTTTCTTTTGTCTTATGTCTGTTTTATCAGTTCTATGAGGCCCGCTGGATTCATGAGGCCACCTCTGAGATGTGGTGAATGTTGGACAGGGTGAGCTGCGCCTCTCGTGCCGGATAGAAGCGCCTGGAGCGAAGCCACAGCCGCCCGAACACCCCCGTGATCAGCAGCAGGACCACCAGCAGCCCCCCGAGGACGAAGGTCTCCACGGCCGGGACTCCGCCTGCATCTGCACACAGGTACAACCACATGCAGTTTAATATTGGAGCGTATCTCTGAGGATGTAGATCTAGTTGAGCCCCAGAGATGATATAAATACATACTGAGATTGGGCTTTTCACTGTCGTTTAGCAGTCGCCTGATTGGTCCGTAAGACACAGTGTGGGACAATGGGATGTCTCTCCGCGTTCTCATTAATCCATCGTCACTGGAACAGTTCTGTTTTGCAGATGCATGAGTGAAACTGTAAGCCTCGATTACGAGCAATGTACATTTGAAGCTCAACTACCAGCTCATGTGGCTGAAAAACAATTCTGGTCTATATTAAGGACATAAGCTCCCGCATACAGCAGGCTGCTTGTCTGAACTGGCCCTCTGACTGTGAATTTGAGGAATGGGAGTTGCCTGAGTTCACTCACAGGCTGGCAGAGTCCCGGGCCGCCGTGGCAGATCTGGACGTTGCAGTGCAGGAAGACGTTGGTGTAGGAGCTGCCGACAAACTTGAACATTTGTATCCTGAACGTGGCCTCCGGGCCCAGGCCGTTCTTCAGCACGCTCAGAGTCTGTGCGTTGGTCAACACCGGACAGCTGAAGAGACAAAAGAAAAAGTCAGGGAGAATGAAAAACTGTACTTTGAAAGCAGGAAGAAGGAATAGGTCCCATTATTGGAGGCGATTCAGAGACAGATTAGTGTTTTCCTTCCTCGCTGCCATTGTGAAATCATTTCATTGCCCTGCTGTTGCTAACGGCACCAAATACTGCCTGGTTGTCAAGGGCATGCACAGCTGTTGAACTGGCCTCTCAGACCGCAGTCACATGACCCGGCCTCTGAGTGTTGTCTGACCGGCTCGCTAAGCAACAAACTCTCTCATTTCAGATTTCAACAGCAGCTCCAGTAAGAGGACTAAGAGCTGCTGGAAAACGAGGTGGCCACGGTGTGAAGTAACAAGCCTCGCATCTGCTTATATTACACAATAAAACATGCTTAGTTTAGAGTCTAGAAGCAGACCTGTCTCGGATGAAGGTGTACTGAATGTTGCTGTAAGGATCGCTGGTTGGTGTCGCCCAGCATCTCTCCATTCGCAGCATCAGGTGAGCCGGTATCTGCGGGACAGCCGAGTCATTATTCACACCTTTTTCAATGCTGATTCATGCAAAGACATAAACAACAGGTGTGCCAAGAGGTTATAACAACATGAGAGAGGAGCAGCACTCGGTCTGGTCACGAGTGGAGTGTTGGATTTCCTTTTGGAACATACATCCACACAACATATTGCTTAACACCGAGTAACAGCAGCGAGCTTAAACTGACCCACAAATAGCTGTCGGTAGTAAGAATACTTGAAATGCTTGCATCTGTTTTTCCTGCAAAAGTCAAAGCTCAGCATGCACAGTCTCAGTCAGGGGTTTCCATGTCAGCCAAAACACAAAATATTGCTTCACATAATGCAATAATGTGCAACAGCTTAGTAAACTGTCTTGGTCACTTGAGAGGGTTTACCATAAACACTTTGACGAAAATGTTATCGTCCAGGGTCAGAGAAGGCACCGTCGTCCATCTGTCCTGGAAGGCCTCGTCTTTGTACAGCAACATCGACACCGAGAAATTCCCGTCCTCCGTGTTCAGAGTGATGGTTCTGTCGAGTTAATTGCAACA